GTGACGTAGGTATGTGGGGGCGTGTTAGAACGAGCCGTTTTAGGTAGGCGTGGCTGACTCTTAACTTTTATAAAGAATATCTCTTTGGATTTGAGACTTTAGTCTTTGCAACTTTACAGATCTTCTTTATGCACCAAGAGCTTGTAACACTCCAAAGAGAAAGGAAAACTTCTCGCATCATATGACCCCTTTAAAGTATAATTTATTCCTATGATTGCAAAGCTGAGTTTTCAGCAGCCATTACTCCAGTCTTCAGTGTCACATGATCCTTCAGAAATCATTCTGATTTATTATCAATGTTGGAAACAGTTGTGCTGCTTACTATATATATTTTTTGAGCCTGTGATACTTTTCCAGGATTTTTTGATGAATAAAAAGTTAAAAAGAACTGCATATTCAAAATAGAAATCTCTTTACTATCACTTTTTTTATCAATTTAACACATCCTTGCTGAATAAAAGTATTAATCAAAAAAAAAAGAATCGCAAGAGACAAAATCAGAAATTGGAATTCTGGAATATATATATATATATATATATATATATATCTTTATTTATTTTTATTTTATTTTATTTTAATCCTGAAGTGGAAGTGAGCTTCCATACAAAAGTAATACAGACTCACAGAAATGTCTATTTAACATGTCAGTGTCACTTCAAAAAACCTTATTATGAATATGTAATGTTTATTATTTGTTTTGGTTATTATTATTTTTTAATTTTGGTCATTCTGATTTATTATCAATGTTGGAAACAGTTGTGCTGCTTACTATATATATTTTTTGAGCCTGTGATACTTTTCCAGGATTTTTTGATGAATAAAAAGTTAAAAAGAACTGCATATTCAAAATAGAAATCTCTTTACTTTCACTTTTTTTATCAATTTAACACATCCTTGCTGAATAAAAGTATTAATTTCTTTAAATTGTAAAAAAAAACAAACAAAAAAAAAACATACTGATCCCAAACTTTTGAACGGCAGTGTAAATTAGAATCAGTCTTCTAGAAAATTAGGCAAAAAGCTACTAATTATAACAAAAGTGTGGAAGCTTGTTTCCTCCATGGAATAACAAATAAAAAGGGTAATTGCAACTTTTTCTCTCACAATTTGGACATTTTTCTCACTATTCTGACAAAAAAAAAAGAATTGCAAGAGACAAAATCAGAAATTGGAATTCTGGAATATATATATATATATATATATATATATCTTTATTTATTTTATTTTTTTTTATTGGTTGAAAATTTTGGGGGGGTGAAAAAGAAAAAAAAAAGAAAAAAAAAAAAAAAAAAAAAAGTCAAAATTGTTGTTCTATATTAGGCAAACACCCAATCACACAGTCTGTATGATGGATAAATGTAAGTGCTTTGTTAAAGTTAAAAATAGAGCGGGACAGGTCAGCCACCTGCTTAGTCTGTCATTATCTCTGTGGGTGGGTCCCAGGCACCAGCGTATTATAATATTACAGTATTGCAGTATATAATATGACCGTACAGACTAGTGTTCCAGCGGTCTGTGTGTGGTCTGATGAAGTGGCGTCTGTGTCTCGTTCTCAGGCGAGCAGCTGATCTCTGATGATCTGAGCTTTGTGACTGGAGAGACCACAGAGAGATGATCCGCCACAGTGTTACAAGTCACACGAACCTTCCTGTGTCGTCAGCCACTGAATGTGCTCTTTACATGTCTGTGCACTTTATGTTCAGAACAGGACTATATGTTTCTGTGTGCTACTGTATGTTATTTCAGAGAAACTACTTTTGGGATAGTAAAGATTTAGTTTTTTTTTTTGCCTTGCATTTTGAAATGCATAACATTCCGTTATAAAACTAGGTGTATACATTTTGTGTGTGTGCTTAACTATTCATATTACACTTCTACACATTTTCTTTATTTTTGCAATGCTGCTTATTGTCAAACTCATAGGGAGTTGCCAAACACCTCAGTAACTCGAGTTTTCAAATGTTTGGCACATTGAGTCAAAAAATGTCAGTACAGGTGCTGCTCTGTTACTTTTTATCTAGCTTATTCTTTGTGCAGTTTATATACATATATATAGATATAGATATATATAGATATTAGTGAGGGTTTTTTCGTTTGTTTAATTTTCTGTAGCTTGTCTGTGAATATATTAAGTTGTCCAGAACACAATTCATAGATTTCTATACCTAAAACATGTTTACATTGACTAAATGTCTGCAAAAAGGGAACATGGAGCCGTTCAAACAATTTTCACAATGATTGTGTTTTGATATATTTCAAATAAGCAGTTATTTAGCATCGCACAGCTTTATTGCAAGCACTTATGAACTTCTTAATGCTACATTCCCTTGTTTTTTTTCCTTTAGTTATTTTGAACACGTTAACTCAAATAAAAGGCAGTTACATACTTAAACCAAAGTCTCAGGAGGGTCCAAGTCGGTGTTTTTAGCCCCAGGCTCGTGTGTGTTTGTATGGTTTGCTTTGAGCTCAGACAGAAAGCATTGATGAGGTGCTCTGTTATGGCAGCAGCTGCTGAGAAATCACTCCGTTTATGTTGTGAATAGATGTCATGGCATCATCAGCAGCTGGGGAGTGATGCACATATATTCAGTTGAGGTCATGGTCTTTCTCTTTGCATGCACCGCTTTCGCTCCGTGCAGTCTGTTGAACGTGAATGTTTTGTTGAGTAATGCATTGCTTTTGCTGTTTAATTGTTGGCTTAAGAAGTGCTTTATGCAAATAAGTTTTTTTTTTCACTTCCCCTCCAGCATGTTCTGCAAAGTGTAAAACAATGAGAACTGTTCCTGTGACTATTCAATGTAAATTTCAATGTTTTTTGTGCTGTAATAATAATGTTCCTCTTTTGATGTTTTATGTTTCATATGAGGAGTCTGTTCTCTGTGCACATTTCTAGTTCACTGGTTTCCTTCTCTAGCATGTTTTTAAAGATTTTCTGGGGGCCCAAAACAAACTGGAGTATATGCACAGTATGTACTGTATATTTATCTAACTTAAAACCTGAACAAATAAATGACATACTATCATTATAATGCTTTTTTCCTTTGAATGGCATTATTTGCCCTAGTGCAATGTGTTAAAGTGTACACAAAGTTTTTGGGGTTTTTTGGCATTCCGATTTTTGTGAAAGGATTTTATAGATAATTTTAAAAAATGTATATAGTAGTCAACATTTGAAGTGGATCAAAAAAGTTCATCAAAGTTGTCCTAAGACAAGAACACATTTTGGTTTAAGTTTTAGGACAACTTTGAAGAAAGGATTTGATCCACTTCAAATGTTGATTACTGTATGTATATATATATATATATATATAATTTTTTTTTTAGTTTTACCTTTTTTAAAAAAAATTAATAAATAGGGAAATATGACCCAGATTTCACCCCCAAATTATATAAGAATAATCTATTATATAGAATTATATAAGAAAACACTGGAAAACTATCATATAAAATATAATAAAAAATCTTATATTTTTGTTATTTAAATTTTGTATTTTTTAGTCACAATTAGGCAGATTTTTATTATTTTTATTATCATTATTATTTTAATTGCTTCTTAATTTATCTGTATTATTTAAATTAAAATAAATTATTATTAGATTTTGAAGTGGAATTTGACCTGGATTTCACCCCCAAATAAGAACTATAGAAAACATAATGGAAAAATATAACTTAAAATATAATAAAAATAATTAATAGTTTGTTCATTTAAATGTTGTATGTTTTTTGTACAATTAAGCAGATTTTGATTAATTTTTAATTAGTTCTTACATTTTTTTAGGTGTTTTTTTTTCTTAAATGCGATTTATGAACTTTTTACTATATTTTTTATTATAATGAATAATATTATACCATTATTTATAAATACCACTTATGAAAATTACCCATGGTTTTATTTATTTATGGTTTTATTTTTTGGGGGCGTCTTTATTACCATTTGTATACTATATGCTATGGTTAGTGTAGCAAAACCATTGTTAATTTGTGGTTACCATGGTTTATCTACAGTAACCATTGTTTTTTGGTTTTATTTGTAGTAAAACCATGGTTAATTTTTGTAAGGGGTACAATTTATATACATTTTATTGTTTATAATTTTATTGTTAAAATTTAGTTAAAAGTAGACGTCTGAAACTTCAAATATAGTGCATTTCTTTCTTTAGATTTTTGGGGTGAAATGTGACCTGGATCTGTGTTGTGTGCGCATGTCTGCGCCTGCTGTCTGGTCTGGTCTGGTCTGGTCTGGTCTGTAGGCTGTGCGGTGCCAGGTCGGTGCTGTGTGAGAATAAGCCCGGCAGTGTTTATGTGGATGAGTGCGTGTTGGCTCAGATTCTGTCCTCCTCCAGCACCTGACTGCCAACACTCACAGCTTCCCGTGTCCATTTCAGTCTGTAGCCGTTACTGACACCGCATCCATCGTAACATGTCTTCATCATAATAACATACCTGGTTTGGGCCTGTAAAACCTTTACCTAGCATTTCCATCAGTGCTGTGATGACTGATCTTCAGGGGGTTTATGTAACACGGCGGATCTGTTTTTGTAGGAAAGTGTTGCACGCTAAGTACACAGTTTTAATTGACTGCTCATCCAGAGAGCCGAACACTAAATCCTGTTCTTAGTGCAATTCATCACCTTCAATCTGGACCACTCGACCGGAAAAATCCAGCTTACATTCGAACTCAAGTAAACAGCTTTGATTTTAGTTACAAGTATTTGTTTAGACACAACAGCACTGGCTGGCTTTCACTCAGAAAAAAGGTACAAAAGTTGTCACCGGGGTGGTACCTTTTAAAAAGGTACATTTTTGTACCTTATTTACCCCTAAATGGTGCATATTAGTACCTTGAAGGTACATAATAGTACCTAAAGTGTAAGTATTAGTGGCTTTTGAAAGGCTACTGCCACAGTCACAGCTTTTGTACCTTTTTTTCTGAGAGTGTGAAAATTCCTCAGTGCAATGTCTCGACGGTTTCAAATGTTTTAACTCATCATATCACTGTTGATTTTGTTTCTCCATGTGCCAAAATATAGCCTATATATTTTTCTGGCCAAAATAATTAGAAATTATATATGCTAAATATGCTGTAAACAGTGAAGCTCAGTGAAATATATTTTTTCAAACTGAAAATATATTTAATTTATATACCAAAAAATATATTTCAGGAGCAAGAAAATAAATTTACAATCTTGAAAGAGTCTACAGTTAGGCTAAATGCAAATAGCTGGAATAGCTAGATTTATGACTGTAACTAGACTTACAACTAGATTTATGATTTAATGTTTAAATGTTTATATATTGTAATATTGTAATTGTCAGAGGTTTTGTTTGTTTATTTATTTACTTATCTATCGATCAATCATTGTAAAGTATGTTCCTTACTGAATTTATCAAATGTGACATGACTGTATTTTCATTGACTGAAATATATGTAAGGTCAATTATAATATATATATATATATATATATGCTGTATGGGTTGACATTAGTAATTTAATCAAAGATAAGCCTGCTTGGTTACTAGGCTTTTAAAAACAGCTTGTGAAACGAAAATACATTGCATACGTATTTTGTTTTGCGTAACAATTACGTAAACTACATATAACAGGACAAGCTCTTCTGAAGTACAGCAGGGCCTTAAAAATATATCCATTAATAACTTAGGAATGATTAAAGTTTAATATACACCACAACACAGAACAGAAGAACAGAATGCTTCCTGTGGCACACATCACACCTGCACAAACACCACATTACATGCAGAACTGCAACTAACATTTTACCATTAGATTTGCATTCATTTTATAGACTTTATTTATACATTTTTATTATAAATATTATACATATAACATGAAGAGTTCAGATGCAAAAGCCTCTAAGTGCCGTCTGAAATTTTCTTCTAAAATGAGCATTTTTCTCAGGCTTTTATGTTTAGTTTAGTTCTAAGTTATTTCACTTTAATGGCAATGAAAAAAACCTATTCATGAAATTACTGAACCTACACATAGCCTGATAAAAAAAAAAAAACATTTTTGAAGAAAATTTCAGACGGCACTTAGAGGCTTTTGCATCTGAACTCTTCATGTTATATGTATAATATTTATAATAAAAATGTATAAATAAAGTCTATAAAATGAATGCAAATCTAATGGTAAAATGTTAGTTGCAGTTCTGCATGTAATGTGGTGTTTGTGCAGGTGTGATGTGTGCCACAGGATATATATAATGGATATATATTGATATTTATTATTATTATATAGTCTCTTTTCAAATAATGTCAAGTAACAAAAATGCTTTACAACCGGGTGACACATAACACTGTATGTGTGACATGGGCTCATGCTCTTGTCGCCACAGGAAGTGCAAGTAGCTTGATTAAAAGGCAGCTTGTTCAATTAAATTGTCCTGTGTTATTGCCAGGGCCTGACAGGTGGAGGCCGGAGACTATAATTACACTTCCTGGCTCAGAAAGTCTTTAGGGGTCACAAAAGGTCCTGTGTGTGACGGCAGTGAGGACTCACTCAGTTCTCAGAACTGAGTGAGCTGATACTACAATGGGTGCTTATGTGTAGCATTAAAGGGATCATGAACTGGCTTTTTTTATTATTTTGTACTGTTTTCTGAGGTCCACTTATAATTTTATCAAGATTTTTACATCAAAAAACACAATTTAGAAGTAATAGGCTATTTTCTGTCCTGTTTTAGCTCCGTTTGAATAGGCGTGGCGGA